AACTTTAGCTTAATTATTATCTCATGAATTACAACAAATCTTAGTTTTGATATTATCTATATATTTTAACTTGATTTAATTATCAAATCTAATTATTTTATTTATTTAAGAATGATTTTCGTTATATATATATATGTAAAAAAAAAAAAAAAGAAGGGCCGTGAGTTATGAAGAAGCCATACTCATCATTATTATTTTTTTTAAAATCTCTTAATTTACCATTTTTTTTTTACTTAAATCTCTTAATTTATCTTTCTTAACCATATTAGCATTTATCTTACTTCCATCCCTAATCCTTTCCATTGTATTTTCCCACATGAATTAACCTAGACTAAGTTTCACTCATATTCATTTGACAAACTTACATTTATCATGTTCCCATGTTAATCTCAAACTTCCTTTAACTCTATCTTACTACCCCTTAAACACTATAAATAGACCCTCAACATTTCACAAATTCCTCACACCAAAAATCAGAAATCCTCTTCTCTACTCTCTATCTCATCACCCCTTCTTCTTACTCTATCTAGCTTAAATAAACTCTGCAACCCATAACCAAGTTGTTGCCACCGAACAACCACCTCATCCGCCACCAACGACCACCCAACTATACTAATAGCACTATTTTGATAAAGGTTAATATTTAGGTAGTTCATGCACAATAGAATGGTGTTTTTGGTTTTGTGTTATTTTGTTAACCTTATATTAATTTAGGTTATTTTATTTGTGTAGGAGGAGTCTCCCGATCGTGGTCAAGTTTAGTAGTCGTACCTTTTTTTTGTTCTCGTGATCAAGGTACGTATAGGTGGCTAGGTCCTTGATACAATTTTGAATGCGTGTTTTGTATAATGTTTGTTTTAATGATTGTTTGAATAAATGTTGCGTATGAATATTTAAGTTAACAATTTTCATGACAAGTTAAAGTATATAATTTTATGATTTGAAGGTTTGATCTCTAAATGTTGATCGTTTTAATGAAAGTTGTTTGATTTATAAATCACTTGGTTTAATTAATTTGTAGCTCATTGTGAGCCTGAGTATTTGATATTTTAATTGTCCCTCTACCCGGGACTGGTTAAGTAAGACCATGAGCTTTGTATGATCTGGTCTTTCCTCAAGTATAGTATAACTTGCTTGGGGGGTGTGCACACTTACGTGGGGAAAATTGGTTTAGAAATATATCAAAAATTGAGAAGTTTATAAATTGGAAATCTATTGGTTTGGAAAGTTTTTATTGATGGATATTACTACCCTTGGAAGGTTTAATTATTTTTGGAAAGTTTTATTTTGAAAAGTGACTCGTGACAGGTTTAAATTTATATGGTTATTTCGAAAGCATGTTTGCCTAATAAAAGTATTTACATGCCTTGCATTTATACGTACTTAGCGTTTTTGCTAATCTGTTTTCCTTTTTGTTTTGGTTCGCCCTGTTTACCATTTTGGTAAGCAGTCTTGATTTCAGGTGTGAAGTTGTTCGTACGCATGCTAGAGTCGGGATTGGGATCACATAGATAGGAATTAATTTTATTTATGTATGGACAAGTTTTTTATTAGATTATTTTGAAACAGTTATTATAATTATTCATATTATTAATAAAAGTTAGTTATTTTTCTGCTGCAGTTTGAGTAATTAAATAAGCCTTACGTTTTCACGTGGCGGTAATACGCCCAAGTCTATCTCTACGGTATTTATATACGTATAAATATAGTATTTACGTAGAGGGAGATTTGGGGGTGTTACAATTAAATCAAGCCTATACCACGAACATTTATGACAACAAATGATGATCATATATGGTTCCAAACGGAATTATATATATGTCCCCAAGATGTATCCCCTAAAATTTAAAGGCTATTCAACCCTGGGCCTCAAAACCTCCCAAATTTCTCAAAATGCGTAGATATTAGCCTTTATTTTTGGAATATTTTAGACTTTTTTCGCTAGGAAATAATAATTGCCGAAATGTTTCCCACGGTCCCTACTACCCTTTGAGAGTCCAATTGGGTGGGTGAAACCATCCAACTTGCCTTTAAACGGCCTATTTACCGGTTTATAACTTGCACTGATTTCATTAATAAATCAAGCATACCACGAACATTTATGACACACATATAATGATCATATATGGTTCCAAACGTCATTATATGACCCCAAGATGTATTCCCTAAAATCTAAAGGTTTTTCGACACCGTGTCCTGAAACCTCCAAAATTTCTCAAAAAGCGTGGATATAATGTCTTCAATTTTGGAATTTTTTGACTTTTTAATAAAAATTGCCGAAATGTTTACCATGGTCCCTAATATCCTCCGGGAGTCCAATTGGGTTGGTGGAACCATCCAATTTTTTTGTCTTTAAACGACCAATTTACATGTTTACAACTTGTACGAATTTCATCAACTCAAGCATACTACGAACATTTATGACAACATATAATGATCATATATGGTTCCAAACGGCATAATATGACCCCGAGATGTATCCCCTAAAATATCAAGACTTTTCTACACTGGGCCCGAAACCTCCAAAATTATTCATAAAACGTGGATATTAGCCTTCAATTTTGGAATTTTTTGACTTTTTTTTTCCTAAAAATAAAAATTACCGAAATGTTTACCATGGTCCCTAATACATTCCGGGAGTCCAATTGGGTGTGTGAAACCATCCAATTTGATGTTAAACGGTCAATTTACTGGTTTACAACTTGCACCGATTTCAATAATTCAAGCCTACCACGAACATATATTTATGACAACAAATAATGATCATATATGGTTCCAAACGGTATTATATGACCCCGAGATGTATCTCCTAAATTATCAAGACTTTTCGACACCGGGCTCCGAAACCTACAAAATTTCTCAAAAAGCGTGGATACTAGCCTTCAATTTTAAAATTTTTTGACTTTCTTTTGCCCGGAAATAAAAATTGCCAAAAAGGTTACCATGGTCCTTAATACCCTACGGGAATCTAATTGGGTGTGTGGAACCATCCAATTTGCTATTAAACGGCTAATTTACTAGTTTACAATGCAACTTGCACCGATTTATCGGTTTACAACGACCAATTTAATTAACTTGCACCGAACTCGACTTGAACCGAAATTGACCTGAACCCGTTTTTACTCGTCAAAACCCGAATTTAACCCGAAATGTTACTAACCTAACCTGAATTCAGCTCGACCCGTTCCTAACCCGACCCAAATTTAACCTAACCTATTACAAACCCGACTTGTCTTTGACCTGACCCAAATTCAACCAGACTTGTTATTGACTCGACCCAAATTTTACCAGACCTATTACTTACCCGACCCAAAAATTCAAGCCGATCTATTACTAACCCAACTCGAAATTAACACGACTTGTTATTGACCCGACCTAAATTCAACCCAAATTGTTCCGACCCGATTTCAAATCACCTTAAATGCAATTTAGACCACCTCATTATTGTTGATCAAAGCATTTTGTCTAGGGTGACCAAGTCGATCCAGACCAGCAAAAGAAAGGAGCATCATCATCAAATTTAAGAGTTAAATATAGTATATATTTGTTGTATGGTCAAAGGAGATAATTATCTTCCTAAATTATAGACTATAGTTTCCTAGTATATTGTCATATATATATAATAGTCAAAGGAAATAATCAGCTTGATAAAAATTAATTATCTATTTATGTGACTTGGAAATGACCCGACCTGATTGTAACCTGCAAATTATTGACTTGAACATAACCCAACTTGAATCCGAGAATGACCCGACTTGAAAATGACCCAACCTGATTATAGCCCGCAAATTATTGACTTGAATCGAACCCGACTTGAACCCGAGAATGACTCGACTTGAAAATAACCCGACCTGATTATAACCCGCAAATTATTGACTTGAACCGAACCTGACTCAAACCCGAGAATTACCCTAATCTGTTTTAACCCATGAAAACCCGAAACCCAACCTATTGTTCACCCGACCCGAATGTAACCCGACCTAAACCCGACGTAACCCGACTCAAGCATGACCCAACCCAAATCCGACCCGCATAGGTTATTGAATTAATCCGAATTGACCCGAGCTAAGTTGACCCGACCCGCTCTTACAATCTAAACCCGACCCGTTTAACCGAATTGACAGCTCTTCATTTAAGACTCTCAACTAAATATCATTAATATTATTTCTGTAGAGCTTAGTCATATTTTAGAAGAGGATGCTAGGGGTGTAGCATTCCCAGGCTTCATTCCTCCATAGTAGTCTTTTGTTTTAGCTTTTTATATTTATTTTCTTTGTACTTGGACTTGCTCCTCATTTGAGAAAAAAAAAAAAAAAAAACCTACCTCCTTTTAAAATTAGGTTTTCACATACATCTTCTAAATCTACTACTAGTAATAACATTTTGGAAAGGTTTACCTTCTAATAAAGAATTTACTCCTACAATTCAAGGTTTTTACTGTTGTTTAAGAAAACTATGCCCAATTCAATCAATTTATTATATTTTACTAATTGTTTTGTTGAATGAAAATATAACCAACTATACTTTTCTAAAGGCAATTAGTAATATAATTTAAGTATAACTAATTATACTTTTTTGTAAGAGTAATTTAATACTCTCTCTGTCCCCGAAAGAACAAACCCTTTGGGTTGATTTCGCAAGTATATTAAGAAAGTTAAATAAAAAGAAGTAAAAGTATATTGGAAAGATAAATTTAAATGGGGTTTGTTAGAAAGTACAGAGAGAAAGTATTAAAAGTGCATGAAATAACAAAATTTTACATGAAGAAACTAATTTTGCACAAACATTGTTGTAAATTAGTGGGTATTCTAATTCAAAAGAGTCGATCATTTTGGTACTAAAATTAGACCAAAGAGTTGTACTTTTAGGAACAAAGGGAGTAATAATTTAATTGAAGTTAAAAAAAAGTATAATTAATTACTTAAATTAAATTACTAACTGCCTTTAAAAAGTATATTCGGTATATTTAAGGAATCGCCTGAACCACAAATTAGTTCGGGTAACACTGGCTACTCAATCGAGAAAGAGTAGTCATTCACTCATTCGGGCTAACCACGTATACCCAAAGGCCAAATTAAACAATCCGACCAGTAACTTCACCCCACTTTCAGCTGCTACTCTAGCAATTTCATCACTCAACTCAAAAAGACCTGAATTTGATAATCCCTATTTATAATCATCCAATTCAAATTCAATCGAATTCAAGTAATTTAACTTCCAAATCCAATTAATTCCGCTAATACAACAATTTCTTACTTCTTTCAAACCCAGAAAACTCAACAATGGCAGCAACACCAATGCCGGGAAACCCTAATTTGGACGGAAATCCGCCGCCATTGCCGCCGCCTCCGGGAACTGACATGACCGGAATTTGCTTTAGAGATCAATTATGGCTTAACACTTATCCTCTCGATCGTAATCTTGTTTTCGATTACTTCGCTTTGTCCCCCTTTTATGATCACACTTGCAATAATGAGCAATTGAGGATGAATTCTGTTCATCCCCTTGATCTCTCTCATCTTTCGTAAGTAAACCCGTAATTTCTTCCCTCTTTTATTTCAAAATTATTCTTTTAGGGTTTTATTTTCTTAATTTTATTTGTTAATTGTCAAATTCATTGATACAAATTTAACAAATGTGGTATAGTTTGATTTGATAAACGTGTTTGATTTAATGGGGGTGTTTGTAATTGCAATATTGTGTAGTAAAGAATGAATTTTTGTGTGTTTACTGTTTATTACATCAAGGTAGTGTTTTTGTGGCAAAATTTATGATTATTGGCTAACTGCTAATATAAAGTCATGTTCTTGCATAATTGATGTACTCTATCTGTCCGGACCGTCTCGCTTTAATAGGACACATATGTTGAGTTTATGTTTGCTGCACTGATTTAATTAGGCTGAAGTGAACAGAGGTTAAGTTGGTAGGTTTTCTATTTCTGTTGCAAGGTAGTTTCTTGTGGGTAACTTTAAACATTGAGTATGATTTTGATACAGGAAGATGACAGGGATTGAGTATATGCTGTATGAAGTTGTAGAACCTAATCTGTTTGTCATTCGTATGCAAAAGAGGGATAGTCCTGAGAAAGTTACGCCGATGTTGACGTACTATGTATTGGATGGTTCTATCTATCAAGCTCCGCAGCTTTGCAGTGTTTTCTCTGCAAGAATTGTAAGATTTCACTTTAGTAGTCCTCTTCAAGTGATAATACGTGTAATACCCAAAATCCCGCTAGCTGTTATAGTTAAATGTGCTTATTGTTCCCTTTACAGTCCTAGTGGTGAAATTAAATAATTTTGCTTAAAGTAAAGCTCATTTCGCGGGAGTTTAAAATTTTTTTGGAGATTCTTTGCTCATTTTAAGTGTACTTGGATGGGCAGGGGCGTGCTTTGTATTACATACAGAAAGGATTCTCAACTGCTGCTTCCAAGTTGGAGAAGATTGGACATGGTAATTTTTAATGCCTTTGGTTTCAGCATTTACAGGAGGCTCATAAATCATAATTTGACTTGCATTATTTTGGTGAACATTGTTATGCTGGTTATGTTCTTTAGTACTCAATTACTCATGACTATAAGTTCTGGGATTCCTGGGAATTCTTCTTCTTTCACGACCTTTGGAAATCAGCGTTGCTATATTCAAAACTGTCGTGATCTTGAGGGGTTTTCATCTCGGTTTGAGAAGATAAGAGAAGGTGATTTCTAGGAATGAACAACTCTTGGAAACTTTGGATAGATCCTTAGTAACTGGTAATTTCCCAGACAAAGTGTGGATCAGCCTATTGAAATCTACATTAAATCTGTTATCCACTTGGAAATAGTCTTAGATGCTGAAATACTTTAGCTTTCTGGACCTCTTTTAGAGTCACTGGATGTCAAATTATTAGTCCTGCAAACCATTCTCATTGCTAGATGTCAAAATACTTATGTGATAGTAGTCTTATACTCTTATAACTTGGAAAATGTTGTAAAGCCTGGTCGTTATTTTCCACCACCTCTGTCTGTCTCTGCCTCTTGTCACTAAGAAAACAATAAAGTTGAGAAGTGTAGCAGAAGATAATAGCTTGAAAGGGTATATAAAACTATAAACTAGGAACTGAGTGTAAATCTCAGTATTTCTGCGCATATGCTGGCAAACTGCTGGCCAAAGATTAGATATAAGGAGAGCAAACAACAAGCAACAGTTTAGTGGAACTGGACTGGGGGAACCTGTACTGACTATGATAAAATGATCCAACTATGCAACATGACCTGAGAAGTTGAACTCGCTCTATGACTATATTGACTACAACAAGAATCTTCTCATCTATATTCACTTCTGGAGAAATCTTGATTTCCCTTTTACACCGTTTTGGAATTGAAAATTCAGGATGCTTCCTTGTTTGGAGCACAAGCTTCATGCATAGAGCTTATAATAAGCCTAGAGAACTTTCTATTATGGCTTTTACCATGCTGGACCTGTGTAGAATTCTTTGAGTCTAGGATGGAAGTTTCCTGTGCATTTTGGCATTTTTGCCTCACCTTATTTCGGGTTTGTTGCTGATTATTGATCTGTACCACTCATAGTAATTAGTCCTGGATTTTATATCTAATTTTGTAAGATACCTGGAAAGCTCTAAAACTTGTTAACATGATTGATTTTCTTATGCTTGTTCCAACAGACAGTGAAAGTGATGACGCAAATGATGATACAACAGCTACTAAAGAGACTATTGATCTCAGAGAACTAAAGAGAGTAGATCATATCCTTGCTTCCTTGCAGCGTAAGGTAAGCTGAACTTTTTGAGCTTTACCGTGTCTAAGCCTTCATACATGAAACATAGCTATTTAGTAAGGATGATACCAATGTCTTTCTATTCTAGGACTCTATTTAGACAAATTCCTATATAAGACTGTCATTACAAGTCTTACTGCCCTTGGACAGCTCTGTACCTCTCAATAATCAATTCCTCTGTTGGCTTGTTGCAATAAACCACCCTATATTTTACTTGTCCTGGATTTTTTTTGCTTTTTTTAGCTTCTCATGGATGGAAAATATTATCTCAGATAAAGGACAGTTAATATGCTGAGTGTCTTTGACAGAATGAGGAGTATGTCGTGACTTGTGATTAGTGAAGGCTTCATCTGTGCATATCATTCCTTCCCTAGACCCCTCCAGCGGCAGGATTCATTCTGCTTGTTTTGTTTTTGGGTTGTTCATAAGCTGTCATATGTGGATCAGATCAATGATTATTTAACTGAGGTTGTTTGTTATGAAAATGTTGAGTAGCCCAATTTGGGACAGCTGGTTTTGTTTTGGGACTGAGTGGAACTTTGGGAAAACAATGGCCAACATAATCTACTTTCCCCTGCCTGCCCCTGCCCCTCCCCTCCCCTCCTCCTTTGCTTCCTGCCCTCCCCTCCTCCTCCTCCTCCTCCTCCTCCTCCTCCTCCTTTGCTTCCTGCCCTCCCCTCCTCCTGCTTCTTTGCTTCCTGCCCTCCCCTCCTCCTGCTTCTTTGCTTCCTGCCCTCCCCTCCTGCTTCTTTGCTTCCTGCCCTCCCCTCCTGCTTCTTTGCTTCCTGCCCTCCTCTCCTCCTGCTTCTTTGCTTCCATTGCCTTCTGAGGTAATTTCCTTGGCCCGTCTGACCTCCGCAGCTCTTGTTGTGGATTGATGGCCATGTCCTAAAAAGAGGAGGCCAAAGAGAGGGGCGAATCCTCTCCTCCACCACCTTCTGCTGATAAGCTTGTGGCACTCTCCACCTTCACATCATCCTCTACTCCTCCACCCCTCGCTGAAGGTGGAGAATGCCAAAAGCTTGTCGGCAGGGAGTTGTGGAGGAGAGGATGATGTGAAGATCGAAGATACCACAAGCTCGTCAGTGGGGGGTGTTGGATGCGAGAATTCACCGCACATTTTGGTCTACTCTTTTGAGAGCATGACCATCAATCCATAACAAGAGCTACGGAGGTCAATTAGGCCAAGAAATTTATCTCAGTAGGCAATGGGAGACAAAGAAGCAGGAGGAGGGCAGCGGAACAAGGGAAGTAGATTATGTTGGTCTTGTTTTGGGAAAGTAGATTATGTTGGTCATTGTTTTTCCAAATTTCACATAGCTTCTGGATTTCTTGAGCAAAAAGTTCCACTCAGTTAGAAACTCATCTTACCTTTATATAGAATCATTTTCTACTTGGAATATATTTTTTTGGGTCAATCTACTTGGGATTTGGTACTGAAGATTTTCAGTGCTTTATTTAAGAGTTGCTCTATTATTTGAGATTAGTACTATTTAAGTATGTAGTACTGCAAAGTACTTGTATATACTAAGCAGCGTTTCTTCTGAATATGCAGCTACAACCAGCCCCTCCACCACCACCATTTCCAGAGGGCTATACTCCATCTCAGCCTACAGAAACGGAACAAGGCTCAGAAACCCAGGAAGGGACAGAACAACAGCAACCTCCGCCTGTTGATCCCATCATTGACCAAGGGCCAGCTAAAAGAACGAAATATGATTGATCTTTCCTTGCCAATTTTATGCAAATGTCATGTGAAATAGCAAAATGGTGGTTTTGACAGGGTTGATATTTCCTGTAAATTGGAATATGTATGGAATTTGAGTGAAATGTCTCCCTTCTTTGATGATCATCTATCGTGCTATACTGCTATTGGAAGGTTCATCTCAATATATTCACTTCCCAGCATGAGGTAATTGACAAACTAGAAATGCTCATCTTAAATATCCTGCTTATTCTCATGGTCAATTTCTTTGATGCTTAATAATATAAACTGAAAATTGACCTTACAATACTGCATTTCTATGAATATGACTACCCGATAATTTGTGATTTAAGTATTTAAGCTTGTACAACCTCCACTTCTCTTTTCTCCATAAAATCATGCTTTTCTTTTGCAGCTTCACAGGCTTCTTCTGTCTTCTCTTGTTTCTTCTGTGCTTCCCCATTTTGCACACCATCTTTAGCCTTACTTGTCTGGACCAACAGCTCTTTCACCCAGTTAAGCAGCTTCTCACTCACCGCCTCATCTGCTTGTTTCATTCATTCATCAATGATTTGGATACACAAAGGAGAGTTTGACAGTAAATTATGTTCCATTTGACTTTGGTGGCCAAATTTCTGATCATAAACACATTGTATTGATCTGTAATACTGGTTATAACGTGTCTAGATTATCTTAAAGAATATTTTTTAGTTTACTGTCGATTTATTATTTTTTAAGATGCTTTCAAGGCCATGCATTAATAATTATAGTTGACAGTATTTGACCACAAAAGTCAAATGGTAGCCTTATATATTTTATAATCGACATGTTATTAGACCATTTGAAAATAAAGTGTGACAACATACCTAGTCTTGGCACAGTGTGGCCTTGAGGGTGCCTTATAATGAGAGGATCTTGAAAAGCCGCGGCAAGATCCTCAGAGGGAAGTTTCAACCAGTCCTTTTCCCCAATAAAATGAACTGATTTAGCCTTGTTGGGTTCTTTGTAAGCAACCTCACAGATGCTTGGAATCCTAAACTTCGATCCAGAAACCGATATGAAGAACTTGAAGGGTGGATGATCCTTCAACACCTTCCCTTGTGATTGGTATCCGATCAAAAGGGCTGATAATGTTGCTCCCTGATACATTAATTTGATGAAAATTCATAGATATGATAAAGCATACTTCATACTAGTAGTTTTCATTTAATTCGAAGATGTTACCTGAGAGAAGCCAAGGAGACCGTCAAAGGGTCCATTGGTGGTGATGTAGTTGCATAAATATGAGATGCAGTCTTCCAAGTTAGTATATTCTGTGAATTCCTTAAAAGAGAAAAATGTCAATCAGTAAAACTGTTGGGTACTTGGGTCTAGTAGCAAACAGCCAAACACCCACATAGAACCGAAAGTGGTTGTGCCGAGCCTTAACACAACTGTTGCACGGCCCGACGCAAGTCACGCAACACCTTGTGCCACCCTGGATCAATTGCTGTGTTTTTCCGTTCGGCAAATTGTGAGGAAATGAAATTGAAATCATAATTGTCAATTTCTTTCTTTTTCCTACCAATTTGCATGCAATTGATTAAACTAAACACTGTACTGCATTTCTTTTCCTTTCGTATCTTTTACATAATCGTTGTGACTTTAAAAATATAACCTTTTTATCTCCAAGAGAATCAAAGAAAACTATCGAGAATTCGACATACAAGAAGAAAATCATGAAGGCTTTGCTAATTGCTACTCTAAGGGCCTGTTCTTATACGTTTATTTTCAGTTCACTTCAGCTCCTAATTTCCTTCTCTTATAAAATATTCAATTCATTTCATTTCAGCTCAGCTCAGCTCAGTCAATGAGAACAGACCCTAACTCACCCGGATCATCTATCATCGATCCACTCAATTTAGCCAAAAACAAGCTATGTATTCCATTAATTGATACCAAATCACCAATAACCAAGGCTTTATCATAACTAAATCAATCTAAGTCTAATAAAGACAAAGAATTTAAGATCAAACCCCACTAACACTAATCATATCCGTCTTAATTCTTAACAATGACATCCACCGAATTCTTCCATCTATTAACTTTGATTAAATTGGAATTAATTTATTTTCAGTTGGATTATTAATTTTTTTAAGGTTGGACCACCAATATTATTTAAGTTGGTGAGAAATACGCATAATAAGAAGATACATCATACAAGCATGTATATATATAAATGTATGTACCTTATTGAATTGGAACCATTCATAATAAGGAGGTGGAAAGAATCCCTCTATTTCTGACTTCCCACCAGCAGGATATAGTCCATCTGGAAAATCCTGTCACATTTTTGTTTTTATTCATTTTATTAGTTCATTTTAAGACATCTTATGTTTGATACATCCATAATTGTATATAATAATCCATAATTTTGCCTCAATTGCTTCACTCATTGGTTTTAATCTACATATCTAAACAATAAAACACGATTTGCTTACAAGTATTAGTTATCAATATACGCGGTTAAAAGTGGAAGTTTTTTGTTACAATTTTTTATTTTTTAAATGATAGACACAGAAAAAGTACGAGTACTATGTATATTTGTTTTTTTTAACTTGAGTTCATGGTGTGACTATACTACGTTAATCGTCTATTTATAGGTGAGTATTAAAATGCATAACACTAATCACCAAAACATGGTTTATTGAGATTTGGATAATTTCAAACTTTCATTTAAATTATGCAATCAAAACTAATGGAATATTGTTTGGTGAAAAAATTAATGGAATATAAAACTACAGTGTAATTAGTTGCAGATCTGAGTTGTACTAATAAAAACAAAAATAAATGTTGATCGAGGTGAGTGAAGTGTGTGTTTTTTCCCAATTATTATGAACAAGTTGTTGAAAACTTTGATTGACAAGCAAAATAAGGTTGGATCCAGTTGATCATGACTAAATAATATAGTGAAGTCATGTCAAGGGACACCATTTTCCTTAATCACCTTTTTACATGGGCAATTAAGTCCATTAAAATTGTTGTTTGGCTACAAATTATCAATCTAATTAGGGTGTTTGATTTATTTTGTCTGAAATTATATTATCTGAACTTATAACATCTGTCGAATTGAAGCTACTCGTATAGTCATATATGTTTTTTTGGTGTTTAGAGAGTCATATATGTGAGTGTATCAAAACTTCTAATAGACAAAAGACTTGAAACAAAAAAAAAGGTCTTATTAATAAAGTGATTGTAAATTTGTAGAAAACTCAATTAATTATCATTACAAGTTAAATTAACACCACAAAAATTTTGTAAAAAAATTTTCTTACCAACTCAAGGACTATTGCATGTACATGTTAAAACCTCATAATATATACTTCGTATTATATATTATAGTTACTTTCTTTATGATAAATTTGTACTAATTTCAGATAATTAACAGAAAAAAAAAATTACCAAATTAAAATTAGCAAAAATTGAAGGATCCCATTTGCTGATTTGCTTCTTTAAGAAACTTCCACTTGTTCTGAATCCATGAAGACAAAGAATCCTCATCTTCTTATTATCTTCACTACTTATTTCCATTTTTCTTTGAATTTTCTTACTTCACTCGAAGAAAGCACAAAAAGATTAATTTAGTTTATTGGAGGAAAATTGCATAGGTTAGTTAGTTATATATATTGTGTACCTGCCACCGGAATTTATAAAGGGCCAACTACCTCTTTTACAAGAGTTAGCTTATATATGGTTTTTCTCCTTCCACGTGAATTTCTCCTAACTTGCTCTTTGGCCAAGCAATTAATCTACCCTCTTGTGTTATTATTTTAAAATTGCCTCATTCTATGTTTATACAACCTCGAAAAATTCAAATTTGTATAATCTCGGAAACTTGTGCTAGCATCATCATCACCCTGAACTGCTCCAACAAACCTATTTCCTCTTAAATCATTCTTGTAATGGATTAATATTCTGAGCATTCACCTTTCGGCACCTCTGAAGACTGTGTCCTGGAATCTTACAAAAATCACAGTAGTAGTTGACTTTCCTGTTCTGGTCATTATAAGAATTCTGCCTCTTATTGCCAAAATTCCCATTATAGGTCTATTGTCTGTTCTTGTCAAAATTGTTATAACTCTCATTATATTTTCTCCTATTAACAGCAAAGGCCATAGGCTCTGAGTCTAAACTGCTTTTATTCAACTGTTTATGCTTTTCTTCCTACATCAAGAGTCTGTATGCATGAGAAATAGTGGGCAATGATTGCTGCAGCAACAAACTCCCTCTCAAAACCTTATACCCATCATTCAGCTTCATCAAGAACACAATCAACCTACTATCTTGCTGAGATTTACAATTAGTACAAGAACATGTAGGAAGAGGATCTAACTCATCAAATTGATCCCACAAACGCTTAATCTTGGTGTAAAAAGTTGAAATGTCATCCATACCTTGCTCAATATGATCCATAGACTGCTGTAGAGCATACAAAACTGTGCCAGAAGAAGCACCAAACCTTTCTTCAAGATTCACCCAGATTCTCTTGATGTGTTAACATACAACACACTTCTTGCTAGATGTTGATCCAAGACACCCAAAATCCAAGAGATCATCATATTGTTGCACCTATTCCAGACCTTATAAACTTCTGAAGTCAAATCAGGTTTACTGATTGAACCATCAACAAACCCAACTTTGTTCTTTGCTAAAAGACTGATCAACATTTAACGTTTCCAATCACTATACCCAGATCCATCGAACTTTTCTGAAACCAATTTCATACCAGGATTATCAGAAGGGTGTAGATAATATGGTGAAATTGGATCTTGAGAAGGGTCTAATGCTGCCATTTGCTCAAATTATAACAAGAACAGATTGAATGTTGAACTTGAACTAGTCGAAAATTTTCTAGGAACTTGCACACAAAATTAAACGATTAAATCGAACTCAAAATATGATTATGTAGGCTCTGATACCATGTCAAAGTTTAGAACTCGGAGATTTGAAGAAATTTAGAGAACAGAATAAGAAGAAGTATTTAGGAAGAACAATGAAATAGAGAAGAACAGTAGCAAAGTTTAGCTACTTAGATCTTTGTTATTAGCTCAACAATTACAGGAAATGTGTTTGTAAGAATGTAATTGGATGAATGAGAAATAGAGTACAACAGCCTATATATACAAGTAGAGTATTACAGCTGTAACTAACTAATAACAAAGCATAACAGAATTAGTTATTCTGTTATGGTCCAGTGCTGACGTGGCTTCTTGGAACCTTGAAGTCAGTTATCTGTAGATGCTTCTAGAGCACTACACTCATCACGAAGATATATTTATCATTTCTTGTTTCAATCATATATATGATTAGAATGAAGTATAAAAAAAAAATTAACTTGTGGTATTTTGTGTATAATGTCATATGATTCATATCGAAGTTGCTTTGATTTGAATGCTTGACCTAGTAAGTCAAAATTCTTGTCATCACCTATAATATTTAATTGATTGAGCTAAGAAACTAATTTAAGACCAAGTTTTACAGCATATTAGTTTCTAATTTTTACTCATGATTGTCTCTCTTGACTGCGTATTCTGTACTTAATAGTGCCAGTACACTACTAGAAAGATTTTATTCATTTCGGTATTCATTATGTGGCTTAAATCACGATTTATCGACCTATTCATACCTTTATCGTCCTATCCATTATGTGGCTTAAATCACGATTTATCGGCCTATTCGTACCTTTTTCATTATTAATTAAAATGTTATGCAATAGTCGATTGTCTCTATATCATATTGCGGTAAGCTATATAATCCTAAGTTATTGGGCCATTGTTTACTAATTATTACCCCAATCTATCTATATATCTATCTTCTATATATTATACTAAAAGACAAGCGCCTCAATGTGATGATGACAAATGTCACTCTCTCATTGGCTTATCTTAAGTATTAAATATATCTATATAATTACTGTTTACATATTCAAGCATAGTTATTTTTGTTAAATTTCAAACAATAAAAGCAAGTATCTATACATGCATAAGATTTTCATGATTTCCTAACATAAATATTGATTTAATTTTTTTATAATAGATATATACTTTCCAATACTACAAATAATCCATAAAGACTTTCCAATCTTTATTTATAGTCAAGTTAAAGAAAAATAACTATAGTCAAGTTAAAGAATAATAACTAATTTGAAGCAATATGATTAAAGTGGCATAATTAAGGAAACAAAAATTTTGTATTTTGAAAGGCTAATATTGTTTTTTTTTTTTATGAAAATTAAATAAAATCGATAAGAATTTAGTTTGACGTCAATTATGAAATCAATACAAAAATTTTAAAAAATCAGATGTACAATAAAATATTATACAATGACCATTTGTTTTTCTTGCATAAAAAAAAATTAAAAAACTGAACCAATAACCAATCAAAACAAGAAGAATAAAAGTTAAATTGAATTAGACATTTTACGGAAAAGGGATAGATATAAAATGTATTATAACTGTTACTCGTGTTTTAAATTGTAATATTCATATTAAAAATGCTATTACTTATGAATTTTTTTTAGAAAAACTAACATTTTGATTTAAGAATCGTGCATTGCTCATGTACTATACTAGATATACAGCAATCATGTGCAATATACTTATGTTGTTTTAT